AATAACATGACCTAAGTAGTCTACTTGAGTCTGCCCAAAATCACATTTAGATGGTTTGGCATATATATTGTTGGATGTGAGAATGGATAGGGTAGTGGCTAAATGAGTTTTGTGAGTTTCTTGGTCTTTACTATACACCAGTATGTCGTCAAAGAATACACGGATGAACATTCTAAGGTGAGGTGCAAAAATTTGGATCATGAGGGATTGAAAAGTGGCTGGGGCATTTGTGAGACCAAAGGGCGTGACAGTGCACTCAAAATGACCATGGTGTGTTCGAAAAGCTGTTTTGTATTGGTCTGATGGGTGCATTCTAATTTGGTGGTATCCGGACAGTAGATCCAGTTTGGTAAAGTATTTGGATTGGTGGAGTTCATCTAAAAGGTCATCTATAACTGGTATAGGGAATTTGTCTTTTACATGAAGGGAATTTAGTTGTCTGTAATCAACACAGAAACGCCAAGATCCATCTTTTTTAAGCACCAAAATGACTGAGAAGCAAAAGGTCTACGAATGGTTTGCACATATTGGGAAGCCATAATTTCCTTAACCAATCTTTCCATTTCATCTTTCTGTTGTTGAGAATATCTACAGGGTCTGAGGTTCACAGGTTGGGAATTTTGAATAAGAGGTATTTGGTGATCACAAGGACAGGAAGGAGGTAAGATAGTGGGTTTTCCAAACACATCTAAGTACTTCTTTGAGAAAATCAGGAACTTTACCTGGCTGTAGAGTTGTTGTGCCTTTACTGCCAATATTCTCCACTGTAATACTGAACAGCTGGCCTGTCCAGGAAGTTGATCCCTTCTTGAAAAACTTGTATAACCCTTTACCACCCATCAACTTGCAGCTACCAATGTCCTGGATGTCAGTGTGAACCACCTCTTTGCCATGGATATCAGAAAACAACTGCAGGTTATGGAAGTCGAACTTCACAGGACTCACTGTACGCAACCAATCCAACCCGAGCACCATATCATGAGAGCCCAACCTGATAATCCTGACATCATGAAAAAACTGGTGAACTGCCATTTCCCAAGTAAACCATGTACAACTCGTTGTAACTATTGGGCGTAACTCCTTTTCAAGCCCACTGATAAAACTAGAAAATGAAATAATCTTCTGATAAAGCTGCAATGTATCTCAACATTTGGGATCTCAGATCTCTGAACTTCTCCTGATAATCCACAAGGGATCCTCGCTGTCTGAGCTTGTTAAATTCGCCTACAATCCCGCCTTGAGTCCGATCGCTAAAACGAGCACAAAGCGCAGTCACAAAATCACTCCAAACGAGCTCCCGACGGGTAGAAACCCAACCTTCATACCATCTATCTGCCTTACGATCAAAATAGATTGCCGCCATTCCCACCCACTAGTCAGCTGGTATAGTATAGATCTCCAACATCTTTTCACATTTCCTGGTCCAATCCCTAGGGTTCTTGCCGTAAAAAGAGGAAAATTCGAGACGAGGAAGCTGCACCTGATTATTGTGATGATTATTGTGACCGCGAGGAAGTGGAGGCGGAGGAAGTGGATTCCCGCCCAGATCTGCAACCCGGTTTCTCAAGATCTTCCCCCGCGGTGGCGGTTGCAACTTCGCCGCAGCAGCTCCCAAATCTGGCAGAGGAAGAATGCCACGATCATTGCGCCAGTCTCTCGCAGCCACCGCCTCACCAGCCACAATGATCTCAGGCTGTGGTCTGCAAATCTGATCAAGACGGCGAAGCACCTCCTCAAAATGCTTATCAAAACGGTGCTCGAGGTCGTCAAAGCGGTGATCCATGCCATTGAAACGCCGATCCATCCCACCGACTCTGGTGGTGAGAGTCGCGAACTGCAATGAATGGCCATCGGCTTTGGTTGAAAATTCCTGCAACTGATTTTCACTCTACGTCTGACGGTGGCAGAGTACCTCCGCCTGGTCCTCCGAATTAGCGATATGCAGAGCGACATCGCTCCGAAATTGCTGCAAGCTGGTGCCCAAAGCGTCGACGCGATTGCCGACGGTGGAAATACATTCGTCAATCACAACGCTACGAGTTGAGGCCGCCATAGGTGTCGAGTGTAGGCTCTGATACCAATTTGTTAAGCCTGGACCTGGAACTCGACTGAATTTAGGACGATAAGAGAAGAAGAAGAGAAGAAAAGGAGAGAGAGAGGGATAATGAGAGGGTGGGAAATTCTTTTGTGTTATTTCTCAATGTCGTTACCAGCTCACATCGTCTCTTTTATAGTCAATGGAAAATTATAATCAAATACCTCAACTACTAATTGATTGTAATTGAGGACGATTGTTACATCCTCCCTAAAATAATTGATTCTAGCTCTCTCTTGATACGACGTAATTAACCCTAGTCCGCAATTTAAATAGCAATAGTCCACCGTAATAGTTGTAATTTTCCTCCTGTATCATGCATGTAAACAACATGTATCATATCATATGATAGCTACCCTAGCTCCATTAATATGATTCCATATTAGTAAAGTACTTTGTATTAATTTTTAGCATACAAAATTCTTTTATTATGATGCTAGTTTGTTCCATTTCTCTTATATAGAATAAATTGAACATGACACTCTATATGAAACGCCAAAGTCAGCAGGGCAACAAAGTCTATGCTTCTTCTTCTTCTTTGAAACAATCTACCCAACCTAATGTTTCAAAGACATTCAAGGTTGTCCAAAAAGTGGACCTTCAGAAGTTGTACTCAATGATCCAAATGAGAAGAAGAAGAAGAAGAAAACTAGAGGCTTGCCTGCTTCTTGGAACCAGTCTGGACAACCTAATATTTCAAAAAGCTCAAGTCTCATGCCAACGACATACCTCCAGGAGAAGACATTCTTAATGAATTCGAGGTAGAAAAAGTTAGGATGTTTTCTTCGTCTGAGAATGAAAATCCAAATCATCAAAAGAAGAACAACACTAGAGGCATGAGACTTGAGCTTTTATCACATAGAAACAAAAACTTGACTAAATCAAAGACTACTAATTCTCTGTAAAAACAAAAACTTAACTAAATAACATAGAAACGACCACTGTGACTCTGGCCTATATCATAAAAATCCTGTTAATATTGTGCTGAACAGAAATGCTCACAACAATGTCTCCAAATATAAAAAATACCCAGTCATCTTTGTATGTTCTTACTATAATCGTCAAGGTCATATTGCTAAATTCTGTTATGATTTGATAGGACCAAAAAGGTCACCTACATCCAAATCCTTTTCGGTACCAAAGTGTGCTAACTCTTAATTGATTGCAGAATGTGGGAGAAAGTGAAAATATCTGGTACCTGGACAGTGGTTGCTCCCACCATATGACAGGTGGCAAGGAACTTTTCTGAACCTTTTCTTTTAAGAAAGGAGGTAAAGTAGTCTTCGGTGATGAAAGAGTAGGTATAATTCTTAGAAACGGTACAGAGTGGTGTTTGTAGGCTCTTCATGCAAAATAATCAGAAATTGTGATGATAAACTGTTGTTCACTGGATCTAAAAAAAATAATATGTATTTAGTATGTTTAGTCTTAAAACGTTTAATGAAACTTGTTTTTAGGCTGTTTCATATGATCTCGAACATCTCTGGCATAGAAAACTAGGACATGTTTGTCTTTCGAAACTCTCAAAACTTTCAAAATAAAATTCTGCTCGAGGTATTCCATCCTTGAAAGAAAACCCTAAATTTTTCTGTGATTCGTGTGCTGGTGGAAAACTTGCTAGAAAGAGCTTTAAATCTAAGAGTGACATTACTACTAGTAGAGTATATGAGTTGATTCATATGGATCTATTTGAGCCAACAAATGTGGTAAACCTAAGCCTCGGAGGTAAGTCCTATGCTTTTGTACTTGTTGATGACTTTCCTAGATACACTTGGGTATATTTGCTTGCATCTAAGGATGAAGCCTTTGGTAAATTCAAGACTTTTGTAGCTAGCGTGTTAAATGAATCAGAAGATGGCATTAAAACAATTCGTAGTGATAACGGAGGTGAGTTTGTATCTGAAATCTTCGAAGCTTTGTGTAATGACAAAGGAATCAATCACACATTCTCTGCACCTATGACTCCTCAACGGAATGGTGCTGTGGAAAGAAAAAATAGGACCATTATTGAAAATGCTAGGACAATGTTGTTGGAATATAAGTCTCGTAGGGGTGGTTTGGATTAGGAAATATAATATGAGGGATTTATGAGGGATTCAAGACCAAATCACTCATTTAGAAACCCAAGTTTTTAATTCGAGAGATTTGAGTGGAATTTTCATCAAATCACTCATTTGGCAACAAATGTGAAATTTTATAATTAAAATGTAAATTCACAAATTTACCCTTATACATCCTATCTCTACAAGAGGCCAGTAATAGATGACTCATCCTTCTCCCATCTCGCGAGGGATCCTTCTTCCTCTGCGAGCCGTTTCTTCTCCGCTATTCCTCCTCTCGCGTTGGAGCCTTCTTCCTCTACATCTGGCTTGTAAACTTATATTGAACAAGATGTAAAGTTAGGATGCTTGGTTTACTTTGAAATGTAATTGTGTTTGACTCTGTCCTTATACAACCATTACACACATTCCTTACACAACTATAATTAAACAAAAGCATTAAACAAGTTGCAGGAGCCATTACACACGTTTCTTAAGAGCAAGAATTAAAGAGAAGCTTTAAACAAAGAGGAATTTTACAATGCTATATAGCATTGGAGCTATAGGTTTTTTCCTCTATGGTACAACTTGAAATTGTATCTTTAACGTTATGGTACAACTTCAGATTGTACCTATACTTTCTGTACAAATTCTTTTATGGTATAACTTAAACTTGTACCTTAGGTGATGGTACAACTTCAAGTTGTAAAGTTGTACCATAACATAATGATACAAATTCCTTTATAGTACAACCTAAACGTATACATTTAATGTTATGGTACAACTTCAAATTGTATATTAAAGCACCGATGCTATATAGTATAGTAGAAGAGCTCATTAAACAAATTGCAACGGCCACAAATCCGATGGAGATGAAGCGACAACCCACCGAAACAAGCGAAGGTGGAAGAACGGAGAAGAAGGAAAGATCGGACTCGCCTGCTGGAAGTTGTTTTTTGCCGCAGAGCCTCGCCGTCGAACACTCTCCGAAGCTGATTCCCTGTTCTGGCATCGGAATGGAGTCGCCGACGGTCAGCAGTACACTGTTGATTGACCTTCTACGTCGAGCTCCATTGTGGGAGTGAAAAGTGAATGGGTTAAACGTAATAGTTAGGGTAATAGAAGAGGATAAAGTTGGAATAAATTGGCTAAATATTGAAAGATTTTAAAATAGTTGATGGTCATCAGCTATTTCACAATCCCACAATTATGGGTTTCAGAAATTCGGAATGATTAAAACCCCTCATCGTAAAACTGCTAACCAAAAGAGTGATTTTAATTAAAATTCCTCATTATGAGAGATTGTGCCCTAATCCCTCAAACAAAATTGGTATCCAAACCACCCCCTGAGTTTTTGTCGGGAGAAGCAGTAATGACTGGAGTCTATGTGATAAATCGTGTATTAATTAGAAAAACTATAATAAAACACCTTATGAGATTCTAAAAGGAAAAACTCCAAATTTAGGATACTTCCATCCTTTTGGCTGTAAGTTTTATGTTCTTAATACCAAAGATCATCTGAATAAATTCGATGCAAAATCTGATAAGGCAATCTTTTTAGGAAACTCTACTAAAGGGAAAGCCTTTCGAATCTACAATCTCAGATAAAAAAGAATGGAAAAATCTATCTTTGTAAAATTTGATGACTTTGCTTGTTCTGTGGAAGTTTGTGCAGAGAACGTGGATTTTATTTTTCCTACTGTAAAGCAAACTGATCTGCCACCTCATGAAAAAGTGCCTCAACCTGATGAAGTATTAAAGACAGATGACAAAGCTCCACCTGCTGATATACATAAACACCATCCCCAATCTCAAATCAGTGGTGATCTGAATGACAGAATCCGGACTCAAGGTAAGTACTTGCCATACCAGTATGCTTTTGTTTCTCTCCTTGAACCAAAAGTTTACAAAGAAGCCTTGACTGATGATGAATGGCTTTGTGCAATGCAAGAAGAACTAGTACAATTTGCTGGACTGCAAGTGTGGGAATTAGTAACTAGACCTATTGATAGAATTATTATCGGTACAAAATGGGTGTTTAGAAATAAAACTGATGAATTAGGAGAAATCACTAAGAATAAAGCTAGACTTGTTGCTCAAGGATACCTACAAGAAGAAGGAATTTACTTTGATGAGACATTCGCTTCTGTAGCTAGAATTGAATCCATAAGATTGCTATGTGCATATGCAAGTTATATGAAAACACCCTTATTTCAAATGGATGTCAAAAGTGCCTCCCTTAATGGAGACATTAAAGAAGAAGTTTATGTTAGTCAACCTCTTGGATTCATTGATCATCAACATCCTGATCATGTTTGCAAACTATCAAAGGCGCTATATGGGTTAAAACAAGCACCCAGAGCTTGGTTTGAAAAACTATCCACATTTCTAAAAAATGAAAAATTCTCTCAACGAAGTGTGGATCAAACCCTATTCATTAAGAGATGTAATTCTGATATACTACTAGTATAAGTATACGTTGATGACATTGTTTTTGGATCAACAAACCCTTCTATGTGTGCAGAATTCTGTGCAACCATGAAATCTGAATTTGAGATGAGTATGATGGGAGGACTTTTATATTTTCTTGGTTAGCAATTTAAACAGACAAATTCTGGCATTTTTATCTCACAAACTAAATACATTGACTCTATGCTTAAAAAGTTTGGCATGAACACGTTAAGATCTAGTCCTACTCCTATGATTCCAAATCTGAATTTGTCACGTTAAGATGTGCACTTGTTTCATGGTTTAGTAAGAAAGAAGGAGTCGTTGCACTCTCTACAGCTGAAGCTGAATACATGGTAGCTGGTAGTTGTTGTGCTCAACTCATGTGGATGAAAGCTCAACTTTCAGATTATGGATTTATCCTTAAAAACATTCATATTTGTTGTGATAACAATAGCACTATTTGCGTGACAAAAAATCCAGTACAACACTCTAGAACTGAGCATATAGAAATCAAATATCATTTCATCAGAGATCTTGTTCAGGCAGGAAATGTTTGTTTACAATTTGTGCCTACAGATTTTCAGCTTGCAGATATCTTCTTACCAAACCTCTTCCTAGTGAAAGATTTTTGCAACTGTGCACAGAAATATGGTTAAAATCACTTAGCAAGAGCTTAAATATGACAAAATAAGATCAAATGGAGTGATTATGCTCTAGGCCTTTTACTTGTCTTGAGCGGTGCACTTCTTTATCTACTTTTCAAATCATGCTTGTTGTTTTTCTAAAACTTTCTCTAGAAAGCTCTTCTCCTAATGGTCAATCTTTTCTACTCTGTCTGCTGAACCTCTTCGGCTTCCTCTTCTCCCTTCCTTCCTCCTCCTTTATTTAAACTTTCTTGTTTCTGCTCCATCTCCTCACTCTTCTCCCCATCATTTCCCTCCTTAACAAAGCATCATGAGTGATTATCTGCCCAGACCATTTCGTTTTGATGGCCTTGTCCACACTTATCCTGGTTACATGTTTCATGAACTAGTGGTAATCAATCACCATCGCCATCTCCAGTACTTTGAAAACAGAAGCCTTCACCATGTCACACAACTTGATCCCTATGAGTTTAATGTTTACAAATACGATATCATCTCACTCGTTGAAGGGCTTGGGTGGGGATTCCTCCTTCGACAGCCCTTTCATCCTGCATGTCCTGGAGCTGTCAAATACTTTTACTCCAACCTTCACTCAGAAGGCATCAACTCAAGGAGTTTTACTACCGTGATGCATGGTCATCTGCTGACCATCCCAGTCGCTGCTTTGGGAGGAATTCTTGGCTTCTCTTTTGAGGGCCTCGACATCATCCAACCTACAGAGTTATGGAAACATGAGTTTAAGCTCACCACTGAATATGGAAACTTTTCAACTGAGCCCACTGGAGGTTCAGATGTCCTCATACCTGGTAGTTGGCTGCCTCCAAGACTGAGAATCTTCCATTTCTTCCTTACCCGAGTGATCCTTCCTCATTCCTTCAATCTAGAACGAGTTCTTCCTATGGATCTCCGGCCGCTGCCGGTCGCAAGTTGGACTTCACTCAGATTATGTTTGGAGTTCTACTTCCTGTTGGAGATGAGCACTATCAAGGGCTTCTCCCTTTTGGCTCTACTATCACTCGTCTTTTGATAAGGCTTGACATCAACCTCTCTAACTTTCGCAACGTATCCTCCACTGTTTACATCAATGCCCAGAATGTCCTTATGGTCTTGGACCTTCCCACTGGCATTCATCCTCCTCCTCCTCCCTCTGCTTCACTTCTTTGCCCTCACCGCAAGGCTGCCTCTCGTGGCAAGAAATCCAAGCCTCTTGAGGAATCCAACAAATTTGTCGACCTTGTCTTCACTCTCTCTGAAGGAACCTCTTTCTTAGATGATTCTGCTGCCTCTGCTCTTTACTAAGACTCTTGTTTCTACTCAGCAGTGATTTTGTAATGCTGTCCCATAAGAGGATTTGCATCGTTTTAAGTATTTAATTTCTCTTACTAGTAGTAGACCTTTTGTATTGCTATTCTTCATAATAACGCAACTTCTCCGGGGAACCTTTCCCTTGACTTCTCTACTGCTGTACTTGTTTAATATGCAATTAAATTTTTTTTGTAGTTTTCGGTTGCTGTTGCTTTTTTCTTTGTCTCTGCCAATTTTTTTGCAGGATCATCAAACTTGTTGAATGAAGGGGGAAATTGTTGACTTGTTCCACGGCGTCGTTCCAGTAGATACACTCTATGACAGCGTTCTAGCATAGACTCTCTATGATAACGTTCCATCCAAACGCAGCGTACGACATGCGTGATCGTCCTTCGAAGTCTGCTCTTCAAACTAATCTTCTCAGATCATCCCCAATCCTCAGTAACGCTCCTCCCTTTTCCTCGTTCTTCTCCAAAGATGTCAACCCCTACAAAATGTTAGGGTGACAATAACGTTGGAAGATCATGATGACAAAGACAACAACGGTCCTCCATCCCTTCTCTATTTATACCCTTTGTCAATGTAAGATTACTAGTTCTTTAGGCAGTTATAGATAGATTTGGCAGAGCATAATCTTCTGTATTGGGTCTTAGTTCTGGGTTTGCTTCAGTAGCTCAATTTACTGTGTTGCTTTTGAATCGAGCTTGGGAAGTAGTTTGATAGGATTCCTTGTTGATCAGAAAGAAATCGGTGTTGGATTTCTTCTTAGGGTTTGCAGTTTTTTTCTCAAAATCTCCCATTGTAATTTTTCTCCTTTTCACTTGAATAAAAACCATTCCTCCACAAAATCACAGTGTATAAAAGTAGTTAAAGTAGAAGTAGGAAAATGAATTCCGAACAATAATATTAGTCAAACAAGAGCAAATAAAAACACAAGATACGGATAGCCTTAATGGATACTGATTAATCATAAGAGAATCACAAAACATAACTTTTCCTTTTTTTTTAACGGTGTGGTTTAGTGTAGTGTGTAGTATCAAACATTGATTCATGGATCCGTTTCATGAATAACAGATAACTCAAACTTGAAACTTTAACAACCCTCAAAATACCTCAATTAGCTCAAAATGCTAAATTGATAAAACTATATCATTATACGATGTGATGTATAACGATTTAGATTCCCACTAATTAAGCTTGAACTTGTTCTTGTACTCGGCCCAAAGCTCGTCAATGCTCTTCCCAAGCAAGTGCTTAAAGAAGTTCGGGTTATACTCGAACCTCATCCTCCGATTCAGCTCCCCCACAAACCCTTCCATTAGGCCTTCACAGTAATCCAAGAACCTCGCCGTTACTTCATACCCTTGGTCCCACCTGTCACCCTTTCCGGGGCCGGCCCAGTTACCCGGCCCGTGGCCAGACTTCAGCCTCATGAAGTCGGCGATCCCACTCACCAGGCCTGGTGGAGCCTGCCCGTTCCCGTCCCACTGCCACACGTGCGTCATCTCGTGGTATATCAGCCCAACCATCTCCCTCGCCACGTCACCCTCGTAGTCCCCGAGGTAGGTGGCGCTGATGTGGATCACACCCGGGGTGTAGGACGAGATGCCGCCGCCGTCCATCGCGTCGATGGACAGTCTGACGTGGCTGACGGGCTTTCTGTCCTTGGGGATATTGGCTTGGCCGAAGGTGAGCCATATGAATGACGTGGCCGAGACCATGGCCTCTCTGGCACAGACGGCGCCGATGCGATAACGGAACCTCGAGCCACCTTTGGTTGCGGGGACGTTGTTGGTGATGGAGTAGGTGACGCCGCCGTCATCGGCGTGGGTGGCGGAGAGGCTGAGTAGGAGGCTGAGGGAGAGAGTAAAAAGATAACGGCTACGAGTACTCGTCGTCGTCATTAATTACAGCTAGAGTAATTAGTGTTGATTTGTGGATTAAGATGTGTCGTGGTTTAGCGGTTTATATAGACTCTCGATAACGAGGCATGGATTAATGAATTAAGTGCAATCAAGGTGTGGTTTTGTGGGCACGTGAATTGTAGCCATGTCTGCAAGTGGAAGCAGAGGGTTTACGTCTCAGGTAACTAATTAACCAGCTAGCTGCAAATTAGTTTCTTGATCTCTAGCCTTTGTCTTTTCATCTCTTTTCGATTTAACCTCGCACCTTGATTTGTTTGTCCTTAATTGCAATGTTTCGATTTAGTAAATACATAATAAAAAATAAGACAAAAAATGTCAACTTCAATCCTTCTTGAGGCTTGGCGCTACGTCATTTTGGTGGATGACATTGTTGGGAATATCACTATAGGTCTCTTTCTAGAAATGTAGGCAGAAACGAACGGGTGGATGAATCCTTATAGTAAGCGGTTTGCACCTTATTGATTTAACCGGTATTTAGCAGTTATAAGCTCGTTAACGAATCGGTGTCTAATAAATAAAATTATTATAAATAGAAATCATTAATATATATATTGACTATATTATATTCCTAACAAAAAGAATATATGGCAAGTAAATATTATCATTTACAAAAATATAAATTATTTAAGTATAATATGTGTGATTTTTCAAAAGTTATAAACAGTATTTAATATTTTGTTTCAAAACTAAACACTTTCTAACTAATTAATAATAGGGCATTGTTAATACTAAAAATTAATCAAAAGTTTTGTAATGCATAAAAAGTTTGCGCTGCAGTAGTTTGATTGCTCGTTAGCGCACTGTAGTTTTCTTCGCTTGGTCTGAGCCCATGATAGGAAGATGGAGAAGAAATGCATCTTCTCCATTCCACATTAACCAGAGTTATGTCCAAACGCAAAAATATTGTTGCATGGACCATCTTTGCCATTTTTACGTTATTTTTAAAAATTTTGTATTAGTTATAATACTAAAATTTTAGAATCTTAACATTAATGTTTCTCTTCCAAATCAGTATCATGTTGTCAAGTCAATATTACTAACAAACTTGCTAAGTAGAAGTTAACATTTGGTTAATTATAAGTAATTCAATAAGTTTGACTAATAAAAAAAAATATGTAAACGGTTTGTCTAATAAATAATCATTACCAATAATAAGATTTGTTAGCTTTACAACACAAACAAGTTGCCGCCCCATTGGTGAAAGTCCAAACTTGAAACCCAGCTATGTCACACTTTGATGGATTTTTGTCTGCGTAAAGGTACAAAAATCATTTTCTTATCAAACGTAGGCGATACTCCTGCTTTTACCTAGTACTCCTAGTGAGATATCTCTATCTAGACCACGAATTTAACCGAGTTTGAGGTATCACTACAAAAAAGACTGCCAATAGTGACTAGAGGATTCCGCCAGTAAAGGCCATATTTAGTCGCAATTGTGCTTTTGTGACGCCTTATAGTCGCCGCGTTCCATTCCAAATATGAGCTTCACAAATAATTTCTTGGTGAGGAGCCATCTCAAAAGCTCTTTTGTGACGGCTAAGGGTCATCTCTAATGCGTTTTCAAAGTGACAAAATTGACCAAATATATTTTGTGATGACAAAGAATTGTCGGTAATACATTTTCACATTGGAGAAGCTTGCATTTTTTGTTTGTTTTAGCGACAACAAATAATCGCCTCTATTATTAATAAGGTCATCGCCAATGCATTTTCACATTTTGGAAGTTCGGTATGATACTGTAACATCCTAGCTCGGTCGAACACTAATTTTACTAAAATGCCATTGGAAAATAAAATACTCAAATCTTAAATTGCAACGGGGAAAATTTTCATAATAAAATACTGAAAACACACTCTTGTAGTTCAAAGCAAAGCACTAACAAATGGGCAAATTAAACTCAAACTTTAAAATCTCAATCTGATCTCCACTCTATACTCATAATCATAAAATGTAATAACTCAATAATGTCTAACATTGCCGCTTACTGAAAACCTTGACTAGGCATCCTTTGTTACACTCGTATCATCCTCCTCTAGTTGGCTTCCCTGGAGATGCTTCTCCCGACCTCGCTGCTCTCTAACTACTCCTCTAGCTCTTCCTCTTCAAACTGGTGAGTGAGTTGGGGTCAGTCTATGCCCTTACGTTTAAAATCTATAACGCTTTAGTATTTTCCTCAAGATACTTAACTTAAACTAGTGGAAGTTGTTTGTGCTTCCACTCTTGAAAACCTCAACTCTTAACATCATACCGGAGCTAAAGCTACTCTCCCTTCTTTAAACTCAATTCTTGACTTAAATACTTGACTGACACGGCGATCCCTCACTAGCGAGTCTCGTTGCCCAACTCATACGTATGAGAAGCCCTCCATGCTTTCCTTAAACTTATCGTGGAAGGCTCTTCTTCCACGATTCCAAAGAGCATAACTGCTGCTCACCTTAAAAATCTCAAGAGCATCACTGTTGCTCCGTCTCAAAGATATCAAGAGCATAACTGTTGCTCTATCTGAAAATCTCAAATGGCAACAGACTGGCGCTAGTGACTAAAAACACTTAAAACGACTTCACCTTCTTGAAGGTGAGTTACTTCTTAAAAAGAACTTGTTTCCTAAACTTTAACAATAACTTATACTCATAAAATTTCAAAGTAAATAATAAACATTCACTTCAAGTCATAATTCAAACAAGGCACATATCATCAATCATACACCTAAACAACCATACCAACCATTCCACAAAAATACTTAAAATGCGTAAGGTAAATACTTGAAAATACGTAAGGCGTAGAATTTACCCCTTTACAGTCACCTTATTCTTCGTTGCTGCTCCTCATGGTAACTCAATATCCTGCATATGATGTGCTGTTAAAATCCCTATTCCTTCTCCACGTATGACCAGCTTATTTAAGATGTCCCACCAATTTCCTCCGCTGCCGGATTGATGTCTCACCTCCTCTGGGCGTAACACCATGATTGATTCGATTACAGTTGGGAAAGAAAGGTCAATGCATCGCTCCATGCCTCAATCACACGCCCAAAGCAAATTTCGTTCCGGTCCAATTTATTCATGGAAATCCTTGTGAAAACAATAATCCCTAGAGATGCTTCTTAATCGTACCAGCCGTCACTTTCACTTCTCCTTTCCATGTGCACAACCTCAACGCTTCATCAATTAAGGGAAATCTCTCTTTTGTGGTTGCACCACCCATGTCTACTGTCACGACATTACTCTCGATCGTGCGGCCCTAGCTCTCAATTTCGTCAGAGCGCTAAGCAGCCTTTCTCTCAACTCACTTGCAAGCAAAGAAACAAGAACAAAGACAATAGAATTGGGAGAACTCTCTAGTGTTTATTACTCTAAAAAAATGATGACATGAGTTGCAAGTGAGGAAGATGGCTCCTTATATAGGTCTCTCCTCATACAAGGCATCAATGCCCCTCATAATGTCCCTCTACATACACCCCATTAAGTCCCCCCATTATGCACTATATAAATGTATCCATTATGTGACTCATAAGTGCATCATTAAGCTCTCTATTAAGGTGGAGAATCCTAAGAGCATCTCTATGCTACTAGTCTTCAATACACGCCACATGTGCAGCCGCCATGTTGTCACCTTGTTGGCGCCATGTCATCTGCCACATTGACATCCTCCCCCACCTATGATTGCGATGCCCTCGTCGCGTCCTCTTGATGGAAAACCTCGATCAAGTCCTTGTTCTTCCAAAGCGTGAGCTCTTTCTCCCAAGTTGCTTCACTCTCCGGAAGGTTGCGCCACTTGACCAAGTACTCCACGAAGCTTAGATGTACGCCACGACGAGGAATGACACGACGCGCCATGATCTCTTCAACTTCATGGTCGTGTGTCTTTGTGATGAGTGTTGGTGCGCGCTGCGACTCTCTTCGCTGCTCGTCCTCCATGTCTTCGTGGAAAGCCTTGAGTTGGCTCACATGAAAGACCGGATGGATCTCTAAGTGGGATGGCACCTCCACCTTGTCGCCACTTTTCCAATCCTCTTCACGATGGGGAATGGCCCTTCATAGAGGTGAAGCAGTCCCTTGTGCACGTTCTTGAGATACTTGAAGCGATGAGGGTAGAACTTCACCATCACCATGTCTCCCTATTCAAACTCCAAGTGCCGCCTCTTCTTGTCCGCCCATTTCTTCATCTTCTTACTAGCACGGGCTAAGTAACACTTGGCCATCTCCATCTTCTCGTGCCAGCCTTTAGCGAACTTGTAGACTGTCGGACTGTTGCCTCTATACACCGTTGTAGGTGTCAAAGGTTGCTGCCCTGTCGCCAACTCAAATGGACTCGTATTGGTCGACTCGCTGCGGTGCAAGTTGTAGGAGAACTGTGCAGTATCCATCAACTTCACCCAATCTCGTTGGTTTGCACTCACGTAGTGCCGCAAGTACACCTCCAACAAGGCATTCACCAGCTCCGTCTGTCCATCGCTTTGAGGATGAAATGCCGTCAAGAAGTTCAAGTCTGAGATCATGATCTTGAACAACTCTCGCCAAAATCGGCCCATGAAGCGCCCATCTCTGTCGCTCATGATGTTGCTAGGAATGCCCCAATACTTGACCACGTTCTTGAAGAATAGACGCGCTACATCCTCTGCCGTCAAGTCTTTTGGCCCAGGAATAAACACTCCATACTTCGAGAACCTGTCCGCCACAACCATGATGCAACCGCATCCATCGACTTTGGAAAGTCCGATGATGAAATCCATCCTTACACTCTCCCATGGTCGTTAAGGCGTGGGCAAGGGCTCTAGCAAGCCTATCGGGCTTCTCTGCTCCATCTTGTCTTGTTGGCACACAAGACAAGTCTTCACATACATCTCCACGTCGTCTCTCATACGCTGCCAGAAGTATGCTTCTTCGATGAGCGCTTGCGCTCTCTCGATGCCGGGATGGCCCGCCCACTTGGAATCATGGCACTTCTTCATGATCTCCTTCCTCAAGTTAGCCCATCATGGTACGAGAACTCGCTCTTCCTTGGTCATGATGCGCCCATCCTTCATCCAAAACCGTCAAGTCTTACCTTGCTCGATGTACTCCACTACGGTTTTGGCGAAGGGGTCATGGCCAAGGCCTTCAACGATCCGCTCCTTCAAAGGAAACATGGGCTAGCTGATGCCTGCGACTGCACTCTTGCGGCTAAGAGCATCTGCAACAGAGTTCACCTTGCCTGGATTGTACTCCATGACGAAGTCAAACTAAGCTAGAAAATCTTGCCACCTTGCTTGTTTAGGGGTGAGCTTCTTCTGCGTCAGAAAGTAGCTCGTTTCCACATTGTCCGTCTTTTCACTACGAACTTTGACCCCAACAAGTAGTGCTTCCATGTGCGCAAGCAATGCACCACGACCGTCATCTCCTTCTCTTGGACGGTGTATCGCCTCTCCGTCTCGCTAAGCTTCCGACTCTCGAAGGCAATGGGATGCCCATCTTGCATCAACACACCTCCAATCGCGAATTCGGATGCATCGGTCAGCACTTCATAGGCCAACGTCGGGTTGGGGACCACGATCACGGGCTCCTTCATCACCGCTGCTTTCAAGGCCTTGAATGCTTCTTGGCACCGATCCGACCACTACCACGCCTTGTTCTTCTTCAAGAGATCCGTCAAGGGTGCTGCAATGTTGGAGTAGCCCTTAATAAACCTCCAATAGTAGTTGACAAGGTCGAGGAATGACTGCAACTCTGGCACCTTCGTCGGTGGCTCCATTCTTGGATTGCACGCACCTTCGCCCCATCCATCTTCAACTTGCCTCCACCAATGATGTTCCCCAAGAATGGAAACTCCATGGCGGCAAATGTGCATTTCTCCCTCTGGACATATAACTCGTTGTCGCGAAGGACTTGGAAGACTTGCCGAAGATGCTCGGCATGCTCATCGAGTGTTTTGCTATACATTATGATGTCATCCAAGTAGACCACGACAAACCGGTCCAAGAATGGCTGGAACACTTGATTTATCAAAGTGCAAAAAGTGGCTGGTGAGTTGGTGAGACCGAATGGCATCACAAGAAACTCGTAAGAGCTAGACCTCGTCACACAAGTCGTATTTGGCTCGTCGCCCTCTACTATTCGCACTTGATAGTAGCCCGAGCAAAGATCAAGCTTGGTGAACCACATCGCATCTCCAAGCTGGTCGAACAAGTCGGCAATGTTGGGAATCGTCCACTTGTTCTTCACCGTCAACTTGTTGATGACTCTATAGTCGATGCACATCCGCAATGACCCTTCCTTCTTCTTTTGGAACAACACCGGTGCTCCAAAAGGTGACTTCGATGGCCGCATATAGCCTGCGTCCACCAAGTCCTTGAGCTTCCTCCGCAACTCTTCTAACTCCGGTGGCGCCATGCGGTATGGTGCTCGCGAAGGGGGCTTCGCTCTTGGCTCCAACTCAATCTTGTGATCCACCTCTCTTCTTGTTGGCAGCTTCTTGGGCAACTCCGATGGCATCACATCATCGAACTCTTCGAGGACGCCTTCGATGATGGGAGTTGTGATTCCCGTTGAACCTCCTTCTTCCTCCATCTTCAAGGACACAAGAAAGGCTGCTTCATTCTTCTTGAACCCCTTCAATACCTGCATAGCGGATAAAGCACTATGGGGGCCATCTTCTCTCAAGAGATGGACCTCATGGAACTCTCCTTCCTTCTCCAAGCACATCGTGTTTGAGTTGGGATTCAAGAGCACTCCCTCCTTGTCGAGGAAGTTGATGTCGAGGATGACTAGGTGACCGTCCATGGTGACGACGGAAAAGTCGATGAGACCTTCCCACTCGCAAAGCTTCACTGCCTCTTCTCGTAGGCAATACCCAGCCGGTTTGCCTCCTCGACGCGAAGGAAGTTGTCCGTGGCACCGGTATCCACCAAGGCTTTTGGCCCACCCTGCATGAATTGTGCCAGAACATAGCACCTCCCGCGTGATAGACCATTGATTGCACATGTTTTTACCCCTTTTCTAGGACCGTTGGGGATGTTGATTCTCGTGTTTTAAGCCGATTTCACGCTAGGTTGTGTGTTTATGTCATATTTCAGGGCTTGGCGTTGGCATCGAGGCAAAGAAACGAGTTTCGGGTCGAAAGGAGGATGTTTGAGTTGAAGTGTATTGGAGGAGCAAAAATACCCGGCCATGAGAAAAAAATACCCGGCCGGGTATTAATCTGAGGAGGCCGGGGAAAATGACTTTTGGACGTTTGAGAAACAGAAGGGGGTCTGGTCGTAGCGCTTAAATTCCCGATCGGGTATTCTTGACTTCGATCGGTGATTAACCCCCTGTCCTGTGCGTCACTAAAATACCCGACCGGAGATTCTGACCGGGGATCGCGAATGACAGCTTCTTAAGAGAAAGAAGGGCAAAGTTGAAGGGTTCCAAGTTTTAGAGAGAAAAAGCGTATACCTAGAGAGAGAAAGTGACGAACCTGATTCTTCAAGCGCCTTAGTTCGATCTTCATCACCATTGGAGCCCGGCTTGAGCTTGGAGAAGTGTTGATTGAATGCTAGAAGCAGAATCTCATTCTTCACAGTATGGTTTCCGCATCTGAGCTAGATTTCCCGTCTCTCTCTATGGAGTAACTTTCTCATTCACCTGGGTATGAAGAACCCTAGATTTGTATGTAAGGTCTGATTGTATGAACCCGAGTATGAATCCATTGGTTTGATTAGATTCAATTGAGGTTTGATTGTTGAATGGCATGAATCCTGATCAAATTCTTGTTGTTTCTGCTTTGACCTAGAAAGAGAATATCTGCCTAGGTTGATAGAGCAACCTTGACATTATATATATATATATATATATATATATATATATATATATATATAAAAGATTGATCTTCAAATTATAAAATTATTTAAATTATTAAATTATTTACTACAAGATTGGTCTTTAAATTATTAAATATCAATTAAGTGACATCCAAAGCACAAACTTCCTGAAATAGCATATGACATTTCTCAATGGTGAAAACTTTAGTTCGTTGCCAAGGTATGAAACGTTATTATGCTTATGCTAAAAGCATTAGTATTTGAAACCCAGAATAGTGTCTTCTGCCGAAAGCCTTAGTTATTGGAAATCCAAAATAGTTGTTTATGCTCAAAGTGTTATCAATGCTTGTTGTTATCCATCAATGTATGCTGAAAGTCTTTCAAAGAACACTGTAATGAAGCTAACATTTGTAATGATATAGAAACAAAATAAATTGCTTTTGAAATTTAAAGGAACTCAATAAAGCTTTTCTCTAAATACTCGTTCGAACATATCAAGTTCAAAAATCCTGAATACCATTTTGTCCTAGCTCGTTATGTGCAGACGTTGACGAACAATGGCGAAACCAACGCGAATCATTGTGATCAACCTGGAGTTTATTTGGTTCATCAAGCGGATCTACTGTTGGAAGGGGTGGGCAACTTGATATAATAGGTAGACCTCTTGATGAATGTAGTAAATCAAATTTTTGGAAAATAATCGACCAGTTAATAAACGAGATATATCATTTTCTCCAAATCACAATGTCTTACAAGTTACAACAATTAGTCATCGTAGCAAAGTCTAATCAATTTAATATAATTATTGGGATAATGGACAACCTTCCGTTTCCGTAATGGAGAAAGGAACAAAAATTGAGGGTTAAAATTGGGTTGACTAGGGGTAGGGGTTGAAAATTAAAGTTAAAAGAGTAAGGTTGGGACTTGAAGAAGAACTTTTGGATCGAAACTCAATTACTCTACCAACGGACTACACAATGAAACATTGTTTTGTTGCAAATTCCACGTCAAAAATAGGGGTTGTTGCTCCGCCCTGCCTGGTGGACTAGTTGCCATTGGTCGGAAAATTTTAAAATAACAATTTTCATCGCCACATGTGATTTTTTTTTAATTCAAAATATATAATTTCTGTAAAAAATATTTTGTATGCCAATATCTGCATTATTCTGAGTTTTATCGAACTATATTAACTTTACCAAAAATAGAACGTGGAAATAAAGCCAGCCATATTTTGCTGTCTTTTTGAATGTAACACTTATGGGTCTGACAAAAGAATGAAGGTAACGAGACGTATATCTCTCCTTGTAATAATTACCAAAAAATAATTGCTGAACTCGCTCAAATACGTGCCCGCAAAAATCACATCCACCAGACCTAGGAATAATCGTCACATGTCTATTGACTATTGCCTACCCATTAATTCATTTATGCTTAATCTTCTATATAATCTGCTACACTAATAATGCCCACCATAATCATCCACAAAAATTCTTATTAATGATGAGTACTCCTAGCCGTTATCGTTTCATTCTCTCCATCTGCCTCCTCGTACTCGTCCACTCCGGTATCCACACCGACGTCGTCGCCACCACCTTCGTCGTAAGAAATACAGCCCCCGGATCCAACGGTGGCAAGAGGTTCGCACATTCCATCGGCACCGCCCGTTCCACGTACGTCATGTCATCGGCCACGTCCTTCATACAGCGCACCTTCCGCCAGACTAATTCCCACGACCAGAGAAAGCACGTGCACGAAGTCACCCTGTTCATCGAGGCCGCGGATGGCGTGGCCTACACCGCCGGCGATGAAATCCACGTCAGCGCACGCTACATCGGGACGTACAAGGGTGACGTGGCGCAGGAGATAAGGGGAGTGATATACCATGAGATGACCCACGTGTGGCAGTGGGATGGAAAAGGGCGGACTCCCGGCGGATTGATCGAAGGGATTGCGGATTTCGTGAGGCTCAAGGCAGGTTACGCGCCGAGTCACTGGGCGAGGCCCGGGGAAGGGGACAAGTGGGACCAAGGGTACGACGTTACGGCCAGGTTTTTGGACTACTGCGAGGGGCTGAGGAGCGGGTTTGTGGCTGAGTTGAATAAGAAGATGAGATTTGATTATAGAGAGAGCTTTTTCGAGGACTTGCTCGGCAAGAGCGTTCACCAGCTTTGGGGTGCGTATAAACATAAGTATGGACAATGATAGATAATACTCCTCCACAAATGAACGAAGCAAGTTCTCGAGTTATTCAGATCGATACTGATATTGATATTCGCATGGCGTCTTGCCTATCGCCAATCCTACGGACCTATAAGTCTTCCAGTTATGCAATGCTCTTTTCTTTTGGTTTCAATAATGCGTCCTTACGAGTTACCACCTCTATAGATTGCATGTGCTTGTTGTTTTAAAGTTTGGTGTTTTATTCTCTAAAAAAATATATATATATACATATTGGTGTTTGATTATGCAGCTAATTAAATATACGAATGTAATCCAGTTTTATTATATTATTATATGAGTTGGAACTGATTTTTTTATCCCTTAATCATATTTTTTTGTCTTGCCAGTTGCCACTCTTATTTGACTATTTTACCAACTCCCGAGTTAGCAAAATACACTTACATTACTTTTGTTAACGAAAAATGGTTAGACCACAGGTGGAGAGTACTAATGCGTATCAAATTGTTGAGCGATACCACTTTGTACATATTATTTATGTTTAAGGATCTTTTGCCTTGTTGTCCATTCTTAAACTAATTAGTAACTACCCTAGTTTTGTCACGTAGAGGGGTATATTAGGAGAAGATAGCAGAGTGTGTGGCAAGACAAGAAGAGATGGCAGCTTTTGTAGACTGAGAGATTAATAAGAGTTCACCTGAGAGCTTCGGTTCTCCGTGGAGTAGCCTCGTTCAAATCGAACGGGGAAATGTATATTTTTGTGTTGTTGGCTTTCGCATATAGTTTATTTTACATGGTATCAGAGTTGTTTTGATAAACATCAGGACTATGACGATGACTATTGAAGAAGACTGACATCATCCCACGGACTTTGCCCCTCTACCTCCACCTGTTAGAAAATTTTGGCCAACTATTTGGGAGTGATCTTCTTACTAATTATTCCAATTATAGCAACTAGGTGAATAACATGCCTGAAACCCTAATCGCGAAAAACAAGTTCGTGCTTGTCGATGGTAGCTATCCTAGGTCGAAGGTAGGACTAGAAATCAGGGATGATGCATGGGGCAGGTGAGATGCAACAATGAAAGGCTGGTTTAAGACAACTATGAGCAAGGAGGTACGAAACAGTGTTCGAGCAGCGAGAACGACGAGTGATATTTCAGCCTACGTTCAGCTAAGGTTCGACAAGGGTTCGACAACCAGGGCCTAAGAGCTTTGAAGGTCGACAGGGACATAGGGTCATTAATGCGGTAGGAGAAACTCTTCGTGTCCGTGTCCTACACAAAGGTCGTTACCTTTTGGGACAAGCTTCATTTAGTTTCGATCACACCCCATTGCTCGTGTTGCAATTGTTCTTGTGACATTAGGCAATAGGTTAGAGAGAACGGAGGGATCGAGAGGCTGTTTGATTTCTGCTTGCCTTGGATGATGCCTTCGCTGTCATCCGCTCGCAAATTCTCAGCATCAAACCACTACAAAAAATGATAATTTTTGACGACACGTTTTGCATCGGTAAATGTCAAACTACGTCATGAATAGGTTTTACCGATGACATATGGTTGTCGGTCTCTGTCAATATAAGTCTCATCAGGAATAACCTATTACTAACGCCCCATAAAAATGTTCTTATTACTGATGCGATATTTTTGTTGGAACACTAAAAAAGCACGTCAGAATTGAAAACATTCATAATTCGGGTCCAATTGTACACATTTTACCCCTCGTCTCTTGATAGTTCGACTTTGCGTTTTATAGTCCCTCGAGCTATTTTACGCTCGGTTGTGCTATTTTCTTTTACATTTCAGGTCCTAGCACGTGTGGAAGGGTCGAGGACGAGTTTCGGGAAAATTAGAGTCGAAAAGCGCCAAAAAGTGAAGAAAAGTCCAAATTCGACCGTGACAATTGCATCGTGGGCGTGAGTTTTGTTGGGAACGGGGAGGTTTTTACACCTCACAGGCCAGAAGATTATCACGGTTGCTGACCGTGATGTCGGACCAAAATGGCACTAGTGACCTGCGTTTTTGTCTGACATCACGATTTGATCTCCAAAGTCATGGCCATGTTGTGCAGACTGTGAAAGTGACTATCGGGCTTTATAAATAGAAGTCTGCTGGGAGAGATAAGGGGAGGTTGGATCTTGGGTTAGGCTTAAATGTTTTGGGTTCCCTTCTAGGGTTGCAGCTGAAGAAACCCCAAGTGGAAAATCTTAGTGAGAGAAAGGTTTTCTTCTTGAAGATCTAGAGAGAGAATGTGATCAACAAAGAGAGAAGAAGAAGATTTGGGCTTAATTCAAGCTAGAGGAGTGAAAATTATTGACTTGCACGGACTGCATCGCGATATTAATCTCTCATAGAGCCCAAGTATAAACTCTGGTCAGGTGCAGTATAGGGCAAGTATGTTTTAATTGTGAACCCGGGCTAGTCCATGTATAGGGATGGCAATGGGTCGGGTTGGGCGCGGATAGTGCATATCCTTTACCCTACCCAGATAGTAGTTCGGGTTTTACCCATACCCACATGCAAAACGGGTAGAAAATCAAAATCATGCCCATACCCGTTCAGGTTTCGGGTATCCATGGTTATCCATGGGTAATAATTTATCTTCATAACTCCAACCAATATGTTAACATTTACACGTATTCTCACATTACCTAAGAGGAAAAGTATGACAATAATTCACTAGGATGAAGAAAATTAATTAAAACTACACAATTTCATGAAAATATTATATTTATATGCTAAATATAAAATATGTTAGAGAAAAATAATGATAATTTCTAGACAAAATACATATGCATGTGTATAATCGGGCGGGTTCGGGTTGGATAGTGAGAAACCCATGCCCACCCATTACCCGCAATATTCGGGTTCGGATTTTACCCGTACCCACTAAATGTCATTCGGGTTCGGGTTTTACCCTACCCGATTAGTCCGGATTCGGGCGGATATCCACGGTTACAGATATTTTTGCCATCCCTATCCATGTACCCCTACTTCAATGGCTTAAGTTGTTATCTAGCTAAATGGTTTTGGATTTAAAAACTAAGAAAACTACGAAATAAACAAACAAGTAAAATAAATCGAGGTTGTCCCAATAAGAGAACAATTCACCCAGGTATTTCTCCCCCTAGTCTAGTATTAAGAAAACAATGAACAAAGCTCTAGTGTGAATGATGTATTTGTAAACCGCGAGGTTGGTGCAACGAGCTAGAAAACCCTAACTCTCATAGTCGATCGATTAAGGATAGCAACAATAAGCTAGGTGACTAACTCTCTTAGCCATACGACTAAGGATTGCAACTATAAGCTAGGAAATCTAGCTCTTTTAACCAATCAACCAAGGATTGCAAGAACCCATCCCTCGGAAATTAATATGGATGGCAGATAGAGACCAATCATGATGGAATCATGGCACTTATCCGAAATTTGAGGTTTGCCCTAATTCGGCCTAAATAGATGGCTCAATTGGCCAAGGAATTCCAGCTTATTGAAGCCTCTTAGCATGAAGGGTATTTCTCTCTACCTTGGTCAAATTGGCATAATAAAAAGTAAAATCAAGCAAAACTCAATCATTCATGAATAATACCTCAATTATTATATAAAACATTCAATCAACACATAGAGAGTCATGTTCTTACATTCTAACGACACATCTAGATTGGATTCACAATACCCAAGTGAAGAGGAACTCTACTCCATAGCTAGGCAATTGAAAACAACAAAGATGAAAGAAAGAAGCATGGAGGATGTTTGTCTTCCCTCCTTGTGATGAGGATTCCCTTGAGAGGTAAGAATGTTCACTCCTCTAGCTTGAAGTAGGCTCAAATATTCTTCTTCTCTCCTTGTTGATAACTTTCTCACTCTATATTTTTAAGAAGAAGACCGTTCTCCCACTACGGTTTTCCCCTTGGGGTTTCTTCAACTGGAACCCAGCAAATTTAAGTCTAACCCAAGATCTAACCTCCTTTTCTCTCTCCCAGTTGCCTTCTATTTACAGAGCCTGATAGTCACTTTCACGGTCTCCACTTCACGGCCGTGATTTTGAAGCTCAAACCATGACATTAGACAAAAACACAGGTCAGTGGCGCCGTTTTGGCAACTTTTCATCTAGAATTGACGTGCAACTCGTCTTCGACCCTTCCACATGTGCTAGGACCAGAAATGTGTAAAAAATAGGTCGAGGGACGATGAAATGCAAAGTCAAACTACCAAGAAATGAGGGATAAAATTTGTAAAATTGGACCCGAATAAATTTTTAGTGGACCATATGATTCATCAAAAATATATATAATAATATACATAAATACATTAAATATATGTATGAAAATGTAATCATTGTCTATGCATTTTCCAATAACAAATAAAAAATATATATTAAAAATATTATCAATGACATTAAATGTTCATAACTTACTATATACATTTATGAAAAATGAGAGTAAATAGTAATAAAAATTATTAATCAAAATAAAAGAGCAATTCCTACAACTGCCTCTTCTAGTTTCACCCGTTGAGCATCCCTCCCACCGTCGAACCCCACTGGTACGGCTCATACGGCGGCGCCACCCTTGCCTCTGCCGTCGTCTCTATCAATTGCCGCAGGATCACCCGTTCTTTATTAATAAACGGTTTATGATCCGCAATTGTATGAGGTTACAACATTGATTAGGATGTGTATTAAAACTAGTATCATTGCCCGCGCCTCCGCGTCGGGATCTGAGTAAAAAAAAAAACAAATTAATACACATTGGTTCTGCATTTCTTGTGATGCATTGTGCTCAACAGTAGTTATAAAACTTGTGAAACTGGTTCATGCTATACTGCTGAAGGAATGATGACTGTAAAAGAAAAGCTTAATGATGAAGTTGAAGGAAAGCAAGATTGATTTCATTAAAAGCCGGAGTATTAAATGTTGAGACGGATAATTAATTTAATAAATTGTTTACTTACACAAACACTTAGAACTTAAATTTCTTCTTCATGGGAAATTACTAATAATTATCATCGAGTACTAACTGAAGGAAATTACTAATTACTAAATCGTGTTATGTTTAGTCACTAGAAAAAATTAATATCAATTTCGGTCACACGAAGTACTAAAACATGTCACATTTAGTCACTCTCCCGTTAGTTTCCGTCAAACTCCGGTCACTCGAATTACTTTTATTTATGAATGTCACTCGAATTACTGAAA